CTGCTCAGCTCAGCCCTCAAATCTTTTATTGTGCCTGCCCCCTTTTTCCTGAGACAGTCTCCCCGTGTTACCCGAAGGCCAGCTTCCTGAGACTTGGGATTACAGGTGTGCACCATATTCTTGGCTCTGAGTCTTTCAAAGCTCATGGAAGCATAAGCTCCTACATAGGACCTTCTCTGGTACCAGTCACAGCACCCCATTTGTACTTCTACAAAGCACTGTCTCTCTCTTTCACTGGATGATCGAGACCCAGTGCCTGACACAATGGACGTTTATGGGCACTTTTATAGGCTTTCACACCACCAAGCATCACCGATGGGGCAATGTCCGGATGAATGGCTCACTCTGGTGTAAAGTAAACATACTCCTGAATTCTCAATCCAGAAGACCAGTTACCTAGTTATCCTTTAACTTGCACAAGACATTTTCTTGGACTTGGACATGAGCTCAGCAGTAGAACCCCTGCTGACACTCTTGAGGCCCTGGGTTTCAATCGTGGTACAGTCAACTAAAAAGGGGGTTCGAAGACCTTGATACGGAGGCACAGGTCTATCATCCTGGAGGCAGGAGGATCTTGTGTCTAAAAGCTCCATTAGACCCCACTTTTTAAAAAGAAGATTGTACAGGGGGTGAAGGTGCTTGGTGCCCAAGTTCAACCCTGGGAACCCACATGGTAGAAGGTAAACCAACTGTTGCAAGTTGTTTTCTGACCTCCACATACAAGTCCCCCTCCACCCCACACAGACACAAAATAAACAGATGTGAAAAAAAAAAAAAAGATACAGTTTCTTCCTATTAGCTGCTTAATTAGAGAAAGATTAAAAAAAAAAATCAAAGGAAACTCCAGGGATCTAGGGAGAGGTGGGCAATGCTTTACCACCAATCTAATGCCATGTATCACCCACCTTTTTCCATCACTAGCAAGATTAGCTAAGCCATGCTTTATGTATTTCTTTTGTCTAAACAACTGATGTATATAAACTAGCTTCAAATAATCAGAAATGAGGCTAGGCATGATGATGCACACCTTTAATCCCAGCAGAAATGGTGAGTTCAAGGCCAGCCTGATCTACAGAGTTTCAGGACAGCCAGTGGTACACAGAGAAACCCTGTCTCAAAAAAAAATCTAGGATCTAGTTTCCAGAAGACATCTTCAGATTATAAACGACTCTCGCTGCCATTTGAGATTTACTGAAGATACAGGGCACAATTCAAAATTTGAAGTAGTAGTGATATGTGCCTATGCTTAGCGTGGGGAAAGGCCCTGGGAATAACCCTCAGGGCACTCCCTACCAATAAGGTCTGAATCACAGTGACTAAATTCTACATTTCACCTTTCCCACCAAGCACGTTTTTAAAAGAAGCATTTCTTGGCCAGGTGGTGAGGAGGCCTGCCTTTAATCCCAGCACCCAGAAGGCAGAGACAGGAGGATCCCTGTGAGTTCGAGACCAGCCTGGCCTGCAGAGCAAGTTCCAGGACAGGATCCAAAGCTACACAGAGAAATCCTGTCTTGAAAAACCAAAAACAGAAAGCATTTTCTTTGGTGAAAGGTAAGTTACACCCACAACCTAATTTTTAGACTGTGGCTGTAACCTCTCTGAAACATCCAAAGGAGCAACTGTACAGAAGGGAAGCATCCACAGATAAGCAGCAGCCAGTTTACAAAATACCAGAGGTGATTCTTCAATGTGGCCCTTCCAGCAGTAGAACAAGTACACTCTATACTGGGTATTCCAAAGACACTCAAGAAAGGAAAAAATGACTTCAGATCTTGACACAGGAGAAAGAAATTCTAACATGATCCAACTTTGCCGTGTTGGAGGGCAGCGATCCCAAGGATAATGGTGTCTCTGGGTCCATGGAGTCTGCACACTCATTTTTACAACCAGCCAACTCCCATTTGATAATCTTCTCTCTGCTTCCATCCAAGTTTTGTTCTACTAGTTTTGGGCTTTTTCTTTTTTGGAGGTTGGGCACATTCAAAACTCATTACCAGTAGGGAGACCAGGCAACCTGTAACTAACTATTACACCAGCAACTGCTGGCATTTGAAAAACATGGAGAGTCAATCAGACAGTGGTGTGACAAGCTTCACTCCTCCCCACTTTCTCCTTCAAAGGTGCTCATTTAAGGGACTCAAACCCATGACAGACTTTACAGGTCAGGTGCAGTGGCCCAGGTCTGTAATCCCCGCACTAGGGAGGCTGAGTTGGGAGCACTCCTTTGCATTTGGAGCCAGCCTGAACCACAGCACAAAAGGCTGATGTTCACAAACAAACATCTCCAAATAAGCATCAGAGGCCAGGCACCAGGGAGGCAGAGGCAGGTGGATCTCTGAAAGTTTAGGGATAACCAGATCTACATAGAGAATTCCAGGCCAGCCAGAGCTACATAGTGAAATTGTATGTGGTGGTTTGAATGAGAAAGGTCCCTACCCAGTCTGTGGAAGTGTTTGGGAAGGATCAAGAGGTGTGGCCTTCAAGCCAGTGTCTTGTTCTCTGCCTGCTGCCTAAGGATCTAGCTCCAGTACCATGCCTGCCTGCCATCACGCCCCCTGCCTTGATAGCCATGGACTAATCCTCTGAAACTTTAACTAAGATACTATGGCTCAAAAGCAAAACATTAACAATGAAAGCCAGTGGTTGGAGAGATGCTTCAAGAGTTAAGAAGTGCCTACCGCTCTTGCAGAAGACTAGAGTTCCCATTCCCAGCACTCCCATCAAGTGGCTCACAATGGCCAGAGGATCCTATGACATCTGGCACCCTCATGCACTTACACATTCATGTAAGGCGTGCACATTCTCACTTTCTCAACTAAAAATAAAGCTTAAAAAGAAGGCCAGGAGTGGTGCACACCTTTGACCCCAGCACTCCTCTTGGGAAGCCAAAGCAAGGTAGGCAGATCTCTGTGAGTTCAAGACCAGCCTGTTCTACATAGCAAGTTCCAGGACAGCCAAGACTACATAATGAGACTGTCTCCAAAAGACACCCAGAGGTCAAGGGAGCAACTCAGAGTCTGTGCTTGGTGTATATGTAGCTAGGGATATGATCAACAACAGGAAAAAAAAAAAAAAAAAAAAAAACAAGCAAGCAAATAAGATCGATATGCCCAAATCAAGTCTTTTCAAGGAAAGAAGGTGGCAAAATGGTAGCAAAGGATATCCGTTTTGAAATCAGTTTTGGAGTCAAATCCCCAAACCTCAATATCCTGTCTATAAAAGCAGAGCAACTTCTAAGCAGCTTGTCTCAAAACTGAAATAAATAGATACATATAACCATGCCTCATGCATTCAATCCCAGCACTTGGGAGGCCAAAGCAGGTGGATCTCTGAGTTCCAGATTAGTATAGTCTACAGAGCAAGTTTTAGGATAGCCAGGGCTCCATAAAACATTTAAAAACCATGGTTTTGAAACCCTATCTCAAACAAACAAACAAACTAGTGTGCTTGGAAATGAACAAGGTTTTTCTTTTTCTTTTGTCTTTTTTGTGATATGAGGGTGTCTGGGTGATTCACAAACTCCTCCTAGTGACAGACAATAAATGCCTCTACCAGAAATTGTGCATTTTCTGGCAGAAGTCACTATTGTGCACACTTTCTAACACATAGCACACACTCGAAAATATTTGTGGAATGAATAAATACCCAAATGACACCTGTTGCTCTCTATACAAATCTTTAACTTGCTGGGTCCGGTGGTACATGCCTTTAATCCCAGCAATCGGGAGGCAAAGCAAGCAGATCTTTGTGAATTCGAAGATAACCTGGTCTACAGAGGGAGTACCAGGCCAACCAGCGCTACACAGACCTTGTCTCAAAACAAAATAAAAACAAAAACCCTTTAACTTGCTTTCTTGATTCAAGCTGGAAGGTACCTTAAAAACTACTAACTAATATCTTAACCAAGCACACCTTCAAATGCTCGATTAGGTTAAGTGGGAAAACATCACCAATCTTTTCGAGAAATGCTAAACCAGCAGAAAAAACTTTGAAGCCAAGTTTCAACATTCCTGTGAAGATACACCCACTGCTGCACTGATGAGAAGCACCAGGGGAAGGCAGACCCGGCTCCTCTTCTATCCTGGTGTATGCGACTCCTCACAGATAAGCGTTTGAGCCCAGCACGGCACAGACACATGGTCACCAAAGACACATGCGGGATTACTGTCGAATCTCAAACTCTGAAATTACTATATTAATCATGAACTTAGTAGAAGAATCTCTACTTGGAATAATTTTTTTTATGTTGTTCCTGTAACTTTTGGAGGCAAACAAAAACTCCCAAATCATTCCGATCGGTAATCTCCCCTTCTCGCAGGCATGGGGGCTATCTTACAAATCACATCCTTCTTCCCTTCCCTCCACCAGTCGAACATACTCTGAGATCCTCCCCCACTGCGCAGATCATTGGGTGGGTCTCGGGAAAGAGCGGAGTTAAGGGGAGCTCTGCTGAGATCCCCGGGAAACCCAACTGCCTCGGGCTCTCGGAGTAAAACTGAGAGAAAAAAAGAAAATGAAAAAACCCAGGCTCGCCCAGCGAAGCGGAAGGCGCACAGAGGCGGGGGATTTCGGCTCGGTGCCGAGTGGGTCCCTGAGGACACATGGTTGCTTGCTCCCCGCTATCTGGGGGCCTCCTCCCGCTCTTCCTCCCGATCCAGGCACGCCGCCCGAGCCCCTCCTTCATCAGACAGAGCACATGAACTTCAAAATGGTCCCTGGGGCGCGAGGACTAAAGAGAGTGGCCCGGGGTAGAGGGTGGGGCGCCCTGAACGACGCGCACACCGCGGGGCGGACAGGCACCCGGCAAAGGTGGAAGGAAAAATGGAACGCGTCCCCTTTAAGAGGCCTTCACGGCGATCCGGGACCGGGGCCCCTCTTCTACCTCCGGCCCGGTGTGTGGGACCCTTCCTTGGGGGAAACTATCCCCAGACCCGCTCCCCGGAAGCTTCCCTCACGCCAGGTCCGCCCGGCCCTGCCACCGGGCGGCAGCTCCTCCTTACCCCGCTGTCTGCCGCCTCCTCCCAGCTCTCAGCGACCTCCTCATCTTCCATCTTACTCGTCGCTTTCCCTCCTCCCCCAACCCCTCCCCGCGCCTGCGCCTTGAAGCGCGCCTTGGTCGCGGGCGGAGGCACGCAGGGCTTTCCTCAATGGACCACGCCCCCTCACCCAGCCCGGAAGAAGCTTCGGGCCAGGTCCTGAGCGAACCTGGTCCGCCATCATGGAAGAGGGCAGCGAAGAGAGAGAACGTCCATCTTTCTTGAGGTCAACGCTTTAGCTCCTTTACGGGATGAGAGTTCAAGTGAAGTTGAACCATGTACATTAGAATCATCTTCTCTAAGATCAGGCAATTATTGAAAAAGCATTTTTCCTCCAAAATTTGAATCTCAAAGGAAAGAAAGTGAGCCTACGTTTTTCTTTTTATTTGAGCCTAGGTTTTGTTAGGAAGCCTGGTTATGTGTTTTGTTCTACAACATTCTGAAAACGTTTCTGTAGTTCATCAAAGGTTTTCAAATATCTCTTATACATAAAACATTATATTTGCCAGGCAGTGATGGTTCACACCTTTAATTCTAGCACTTGGGAGACAAAGACAGGCAGATCTCTCAGAGTTTGAGACCAGCCTGGTCTACTGATAAAGTTTCAGGACAGCCAGGGCTACACAGAGGAACCTTGTCTTGGAAAACCAAAACAAACAAATAAATAAAACATTATATTGTGTCTGTAATAATCCGGGCAGGCCTGGCCCCGCCCCTTGGGAACCTGGTAGTATCTCTCCGAATGGCACGCAGTACCCTGGCTCTGTGCGCAGGTGCAGAGGTCTCTTTAAGAGGTAAGCTCCACCCACTTCCGCTCTTCTCTCCTTTCTACTTTTTCTGAGGAGGCAGCTGTGTGTCTCTCTTTCTCTGTCTCTTTCTCTCTCTTACTCCCTTACCTTCACCCAATAAATTTTCCACAGAGTTCTGTCTGTGGGTCTCTGTCTGTATCCCATCTGCCGTTTGTCTCTCACCTGCTGTGGGATTCACTAAATGTCACTAAATTCACTAAATGTCTCGCCGTATTATTTACAGTCTCTATTTGATAGGGTGAAATTTTTACAATATTTTTTTACTCATAAAACAGTATTCCAGGGCTGGAGAGATGACTCAGTGGTGAAGATGCTCTTCCAAAGCACCCAGGGTCATATCCCAGCACCCACATGGCAGCTCACAACTGCCTATAGTTCCAATATCTGACACCCTCACACAGACACCCAAGCAGGCAAAACACCAGTGAACATAAAATAAAAATAAATTATTTAAGAAACAAAACAAAAACAGTATTCTAGGGGCTGGACTCAGCACCCGATGTTCTTGCGGAGGACCCAGGCTCAGCTCATAACCATTTGTAACTTTGGTTCTAGGGTACTGGATGCCCTCTTTTGGCCGCTGTGGGCACTAAGCAGCACGCGGTGCACAGGACTAAAACTTTTAGTTCGGCTCTCTAAGGACCGTGTCGAATCAGCAACTGACTGGTGTGGTGAAGTGATTAAAGAAAAACGAAAAAGCAGCAAGAAATAATGACAGCTGTGGGGCTGGAGAGTTGGCTCAGTGGTTAAAAGCTCTGGCTGCTGTTCTTCCAGAGGTCCTGAGTCAATTCCCAGCAGCCACATGGTGGCTCACAACTATCTGTAATGAGATCTGGTGACCTCTTCTGGCCTGCAGACATACATGCAGGCAGAACACTGTATACATAATCAATCAATCAGTCTAAAAAGAAAAGAAATGTTGAAGAAGATGAAAAGTATACCATTTAGAAGCAGGCCTGCAGGAGTCCAGGATGATGACCCCAGAGCACCAGCTCCTATTACAGCAGATATCAGAGAGTGGAAAAGACTTGGAAGAAGTTGAGGAGTATCAAGAAGCACTTGGAATACTGTTCAGTGAAGTCAGAAGCCTGACATTTTCCATAATAGGTGTTTTTTTTGCATTAAGTCCTGGGCTCCATTCTATTATGCATTATTTTTGACTATTTGCTGTGTGTTTCATAATATGAGAACATGGTTCTTTTTATGCAGTTACACATTTTTTTTTCTTTTTCTTTTGCTTCCCAAGTGCTGGGATTAAAAGCATGTGCCACCATCGTCTGGCTGCACATATTTTTCTTTGCATAATCTAATGTGTCAGAGAAGTGAGGTCTCAGATCTCAGTGAACCTCAGGTCAGTCTGCAGAACGTAGTGAGACGATGTTTCAAAAAAAAAAAAAAGTTTGATAATAAACTCAGACAAACAGAATTTCCAGCTACTGAAGTTGTTCTGGGCCTTTAATAACAGAAAAATATAGTATATCTTAAAAATTGTTGAGCTTTTTCTTCAGATTAAAAAAAAATCTTTATATGGATGTTTTGCTGGGCACACCTGGTACATACAGATCAGGCAGAGACCTGATCCCCTGGAACTGGAGTTAATGGATTCTTGTGAGTTACTATGTGAGTGTAAGAACTGAAACCAGGTCCTCTACAATAGCAGCAAGTGAGCCGGGCATTGGTGGTGCATGCCTTTAATCCCAGCACTCAGGAGGCAGAGGCAGGCAAGATCTCTGTGAGTTCAAGGCCAGCCTGTTCTACAAAGATAGTTCCAGGACAGGCTCCAAAGCAATACAGAGAAACCCTGTCTTGGGGGGGGGGGGGCGCAGTAAGTATTCTTAAATATTGAGCCATCTCTGCAGTCCAGCATGGTAGTATACTTGCACTGTGTGTGTGCATGCACACACACAAATGCACTGAGTTCTATCCATAGCAACCCACACACAAAAAACCTGTGCTTGTGCTGGGAGGTGGTGACTCACACCTTTAATCCCAGCACTTGGGATGCAGAAGCAGGTAAATCTTTGTGAGTTTAAGACCAGTCTGGTTGGCCACCAAACAAATTCCAGGATAGCCAGGACAGTCACCTGTCTATCCAGGACAGAAACCCTGTCTCTAAAAAACAAAACAAAACTGTGTTCCTGAATAGTGTTCTTCAGTATGTAAGTGGGCTCCTACAGGAACTGGAGCAATGACTCAGTGGTTAAGAGCTAGATGCTCTTCCAAGGACCTGAGTCCAATGGCCAGCACCCACATGGCAACTCACAAGTGTCTGTAACTCCAGTTCCAGGGGATCTAACAACCTCACACAGACAGAAGTACATGCAGTCAAAACATTAATGCACACTAAATAATTATTTTTTAAAGTGGGCTCCTACCAACACCTGGAGTTTGAACAAGCCATGCCATCTTATGAAACTCACATTAAGTTTCTGTGCGTCCGTTTCCCTAAGTCACTATGATGAGGGCTGAGGAAATAACTCAGTGATAGAACACTTATCTAACATACATGAAGCCTAAGTTGTTTGTTTTTTTTTTAAGTTTTATTTATTAATTATGCATGCAGTTTTCTGCCTGCATGTTTGCCTGCAGACCAGAAGAGGGCACCAGATCTCATTACAGACGGTTGTGAGCTACCATGTGGTTGCTGAGAATTGAACTCAGGACTTTTGGAAGAACAACCAGTGCTCTTAAACTCTGAGCTATCTCTCCAGCTCCCTGGTTTTTGTGTAGCTAGCACTCAATCTGTAGACCAGGGTGGCCTTGGACTCACAAAGACATGCCTGCCTCTGCCTCCCATGTGCTGTGAAGGAACCCTAAGTTTAATACCACACCTTATTATACTGGAGAGTCCCAACCAATATCTGGCTCAATGTAAAATTTTGAAGGGTGATGGGTAGGGACAAGAGAGGTGTCTTGCCATTCTGAGGAAGATGCACAATTCTCATCTCTCTAATCCTTTCCCCAAACACAGAAGGCGAGGAGAAAACACCATGCATTTTCATTTCAGGGACATGCTCCTTGTCATTTTTTCTATTAAAAACATGCTGTTCCGTAGGGAAATATTCAGCTGCTATAACCAAGTTAACTGACTTGGAATGTGTTTTTTTTTCCCCTCATATTGTTAGGGTGCCACCAATCTTAATAGAGTAATAGCTTCCTCTTGTGTGACATTTTGCAGTTTGTATTCTTAGTGATTACAATTGCAACCAAGTTGGTAAAATGTTACTAGTTTTTATCTTCTAGTCAAGTGACCTGTTTACTCATTCCCTGATTTCACAACTTCCTGTATTGTGGTCTCCAGGTCTGCCCACACTCCATGTTCTTACCTAGAACCCCCTGCCCTCAGCCTCTACTTGTATACAGAAGACTTCCCAGTTGTCTAACCCCTTCGTGTCTCCCCACCGGGACTCCCTGTCCCCTTCAACAGGATCTTACTATGTATCCCTGGCTGTCCTGGGAAGGAGATCCACCTGCCTCTGCCCTCAGTGCCGAGATAAATCGTGTGCACCACCATGCCCAGCCCTGATTCCAATTCATGTAGCCACTGACACACAGCTGTCCTACAGGAAGTTTAAACTCTGAAACACAAAGAATTTGGCTATCTTACCATCTTCAAGAATAAAGGATGTCATCTTGTCCATCTCTGGACAGTGATAGTCTTCTGTAAATCTGTTTTTAAATGGGTGTGCATGTGTGTGGAGGCCAGAGATTGCATGAATGACAGGTGTATTCCTTGATCATTCTCCACATTATATCTCCAACTCCTGCCAGCTCAGGGATTGTAGGCATGTCCCCATTGTCATTTATCTGGTGCTGGGCATCCAAACTCCAGTCTTCACATAGCAAGTGCATTACCAGGTGAGACATCTCTTGAGCCTCTGAATTCATTTTTTGAAGTGAATTCTCCTGTGTCTTGGAAACAGCAAAGTAAGGAAACTCTCTCAAACATCAACTAAAAAGACCTTGAGATGAAATGGGATTCTTGGTAAAAGTTTGGCCTTGTAGTTACAGAGTGCTGACAGCAGAGGGAGACAGTTTCTTACAATTCCTCTGTGGTAGACAACCTTAAAAACAGAACAATCTTTAGCCATGACTTTTAAGACAACCAGAAAGATCTAAATCTTGGGAATCATTTGAGGATGCTGCAAAGATAATTTTTGTTCCACTAAGTTGGCAATCAGGAAGGCAACTCTAACTAGTCATAGCAGTCCCTTGAGACCTAGGGCAAGTCCTTTCCTAGCTTGTTCTGTTTGCTTCTCTATAAGATAAAGCATAGAACAGAAAACTCCACAGTTGAGACAGCCAGCAGGGGCAGTTTCATTTTCCAAAGGGAAGCCCCAAAGTTGAGATCGTGGCAAGATTCATGTATTGGCAGAGACCCTAAGGCATGTGCTTCTGTTTCTTGTGAAATGTCCTTAGCCATAGTTTATACTTGGCTTGTATGCTAGGAAATCCCCCTCAAACTTGCGGTGTGGTAAGAATGCAAGCATAGAGCCTGTAGTGAGACATAACAACATTTGCCTGGAGCTCCCTTTACAGACCAGAACAGTCAACCTCATAGGGATCTGTCGACCTCTACCTCCCAAGTACTGGGATTAAAGTGTTGCCATCATGCCCAAGCCATTTGGAGGGTTTGAGACACAAAGTCTTACCTTGTAAAACGGGCTACCCTGACACTATGTAGTCCAGGCTAGCTTTGAACTTCAAAGTGATCCTCCTGCCTCAGCCTCACAAGCACTGGGATTATAGGCATGAGCCAGCATGCCCGACCCTGAGATATATACACACATTATATACAAGCAGATATGTGTGCGCGTGTATGTATGTATATATATGTATATAATATCAATATTTTATCCTTTATTTCTGAGAGTGTATGTGAGATTAAAGTTGTGTGTAGTCATGGCTCTCCTGAAATTCTGTAGACCAAGCTGGCCTCAAATTCACAGAAATACACTTGTCTCTGCCTCCCAAGTGCCGGGAATAAAGACATGTGCCACCACACCTGGAAGATACATTTTAAATAAAAAATTAAAAAATATTCAGTCAGGCAGTGGTGGTGCATGCCTTTAATGCCAGCACCTGGGAGGCAGAGGCAGGCAGGTCCCTGTGAATTTGAGGCTATCTGGGTCTATATAGTGAGTTCCAGGACATCCAGAGCTACATACACTATCTTAAAAAAAAAAAAAAAAAAAAAAAAAAAAGGACATCAGATCCCTTGGAACTGGGGTTAGGCAGTTATGAGCCACCATGTGGGTGCTGGGAATTGAGTCAGTGTCCTCTGAAAGAGCTGCCAGTGCTCTTAACTGCTGAACTATATCTCCAACTCCTAGAACCTCTTTTTTAGTTTTTTTTTTTTTTTTTTTGAGACAGGGCTTCTCTGTAGCTTTGAAGCCTATCCTGGAACTCGATTTGTAGATTAGGCTGGCTTCAAATTCAGAGATCCACCTGCATCTGCCCCCTGCTGGGATTAAAGGTATGTGCCACCATTGCCCTTCGTGGAGCCTCCATTTTAAAAAGGAATCAATACTGTATTTTGTGTTAACCTGGCTGGGAAGTCACCTAAAAGAGAGTCTTTGGGGTGTCTCGTGTGTGTGTGTGTGTGTGTGTGTGTGTGTGTGTGTGTGTGTGTGTGTCTCCAGAGGTTTAACTGATGAGAGAAGACCCATCCTGAATGTGAGAAGTACCAACCCATGGGCTGAATAATAAAAAGTGAAGAAACACCAGCATTTATTTCCCTCTGTTTCCTGACTATCAATGCGATGCTACCCCATGCTGTGACTTTCCTGCCATGGTGGACTATATCCTCTCAAACTGTGAGCCAAGATAAAGCCTTGCTTCTTGACGTTGTTCATCAGGCTTTTTGTCATGGCAATGAGAAAAGTAACTAAAATAGAGTATCTAAAGTTGTATGACTGTGGGATAGGAAAGATGGTTCAGCAGTTAAGTTTTCTGTTCCCAATGTCCACTTTTAAGTGACTCACCACTGCCTACAACTTCAGCTCCAGGGTATCTGGCACCTCCCCACACATGGTGAGGAAACATACACTCGGGCACACACAAATATTTGTGTGTGTGTGTGTGTGTCTGCAGGTGCCCTCAGAGGCCAGAAGAGCTGTAACTGGAGTTACAGGCAGTTGTGAGCCTTCCTATGTGGGTGCTGGGAACTGAACTCAGGTCCTCTGCAAGGATGGCAGGCACTCTTAACTGCTGAGCCATCTCTCTAGCATCCTTCCCCACCCCCACCGCAATAAATTTTTTTCTAAAAAAAGTTCTATGACTTTCCTTTTTTAAATTTAATTTTTAATTTTTTAGGTTTTTCGAGACATGATTTCTCTGTATTGCTTTGGAGCCTGTCCTGGGACTAGCTCTGTAGACCAGGCTGGCCTCAAACTCACAGAGATTCACCTGCCTCTGCCTCCCGAGTGCTGGAACTAAAGGCATGTGCCACCAGTGCCCAGCTCTAAATTTTATCTTTTGAATATATTTTTATTTTATGTAAATTGGTCTTTTGCCTGCATGTATGTCTGCGTGAGGGTATTGAAAAACTCCTGGAGCTGGAGTCATAGACAGTTTTGAGCTGTCATGTGGGTGCTGGGAATTGAACCCAGGTCCTCTAGAAGAGCAGCTGCTCTTAACCACCTAGCCATTTCTTCCACCCTCATTTATTTTTTCCTTTAAACGAGGGAGTTGGATCCCCTGGAACTTGAGTCACAGACAGTTGGGAGCTGCCATGTGGGTGCTGAGAATTGAGCCTCAGACCTCTGGGAGAGCAGCCAGTGCTCTTAACCACTGAGCCATCTCTCCAGCTCTGACTTTTCTTTTCTTTTTTTTTAAAGCAGTTGCTCAAGCTAGAACCCAGACCCTCATATTTGGCAGGCAGAAGAACCCAAGTTCAATTCCCAGCATTTCAGTGATGGTTGTGGGGTCATAACTGCTTGTAATTCCATTTCCAAGGGATCTGGCACCCTCTTCTGACCTCCAAGGGCACCCACACATGTGGTACACATAATGTACTCAGGCACACATAGCATTTATTTGTGTGTGTGCAGGCTCACAGTGTTATTGTTAGAGAATGAAGGTCAGAGGGTAAGTAGTGGGAGCTGGAGTTGATTTTCTCCCTCTATCGTAAGGCTTGGGGCAAGAACTCTTACCTGCTCAGCCATTTTGCAGTCTAAGACTTCTTTCTTTTTTGGAGATGGGTTCTCATTATGTAGACCTGGCTGGCCTTGAACTCAGAAATCTATCTACCTCTGCCTCCTGGGCTTAGCAGTGAACTACCACACCATGTCAGTGGAATTTCTTAGTTTCTCACACACTGTATGCCAGGATTTTTTGTAATATTCGTTGGAGGAACATAAATGTTTCGTAGACTGAAACTCCTCAAACTGGTTTTGAACTGCTGGAATCAAGTAATTCTTGCCCTTAAGCCTTCTGCATAGCTGGGACTTAAAAGGAGTGCCACCACACCTTGTGGTATTTAGCTTCTGACCCAGTCCTATGTCCCAAGAGCTAGCCTAGGAGGTCTACTTTATCCCAGGGCAATTTGCTCGACGTTTTAGGATGTTCCAGTTGCACAAGAGGTGAAGCGAAGCCCTTGAGTTCTCTGTATCTGGCATTTATTTAAACCAAACCTGTAGGGATAGTTTCTAGAAGGTTCTCACCTACACAGGTTTTTTTTGTTTTGTTTTGTTTTCTTCTTTATCTGAGATAGGGTTTCTCTACGTAGTCCTGCCTGTCCTGGAACTTGCTCTGAAGACCAGGCTGTCCTCAAACTGAGAGATTCACCGGCCTCTGCCTCTGGGATTAAAGGCATGAGCCACTACTGTCCGGTTATTTTATTTTTTAAAATAAAGTAGTTCTTTTTATTTTATTTACTTTTCCTTTTAAGACAGAATGTCTATTATGTAGCTCTGGCTGTCCTAGAACTCACTATTTAGACCGAGCTGGGATTAAAGACATGTGCCGCCACCGCCTGTCTCACAGATTCCTTGAAGTGAGACTTTGCGGGACCCCACACCCTGATGATGGCGACAGTGGGAAGCACAGAGAAACACTGAGGCCTGTTTCCTCCTGGGCCCACGCTCTACGTGGGTAGCTTTGAGCCTGGGTTTCCTCATTTATTTAAAAAAAAAAAAAAGGAGGAAAAAAAAGGGTGGTAGCAACATAGGTGTTGCTACAGTTTCCAAAGTCTTCTACCGCGGTGAGATGACTCTGGCGATATCTAAAGGCACTTGCATTCGCCTCTGCCCTTCTCTGTGCTCAATGAGAACCCTGGGGCACAGATAGATGACTTAATCTGAGTAAGTCTTAAGTCTCAAACCAACCGGAAAATAGCCCAGGTACCCGCGCCGATTCCAGACGGAGTGCAGCTCCCTTCGGCCCTTCTCAATATGGCGCCGCCCAGCGGCCACCGCGCACAGGCCGGCCGCGTTGACGTATGTGCGCGCGCGCGCTTCCTCCGCGCCCCGCCCCTGAGCATGCGCACTGCGCGCTGTCTTCTCCCAGCCTGAGCAGCAGCGGCGGCGGCGGCATCAGGGACAGCGGCGGCGGCGGCGGCCGCGGCGGCGTTTGAGTGGAGGAAGATGGCGGCTCCGGGCTGCCTCAGGTCCCGCCAGCTGTGACGATCCCCCGAGCACGGCAAGCACCGGCCTGCGGCACAGCGGCCGTGCCCTGGCCCTGACTCCTTCGCCATCGTCGCCGGAGACGCGAAGCCGAGAGCGCGGAGCGGGCTGGGCCAGGTGAGGCCTCTCCCGGTGCGGGGCCGCAGCCGGGCGCCGACGCCTCCTGCGCTCTATGTTCGGGGACCCCGGGGCACCCCGAGTCCGGCGCGGGCCCGGTGTACTGCGCGGGCGTGGGTCTTGGCGGGCCTGGGGTCTTGCTGTCGTCATCCTCGGTTCCCCTGGCTGAGGTGGGGACAGGCGCCTCTTCGCTGCCTGCCCTCGGGATGGGTGCAGACCTGTGCCCTCTCCTCAACAGGGTGGTTCTGGTCCTCACCCGGGCCAGGAGAGGATGCGTGGCCAGGCAAGAATGGCTTTCGGGGTGCCATCGAGCCTCACCCCGCCCCCTGAAACCCTTAAGTCCTCGGAGAAAAGCGGGAGACGGCTGCCCTCCCGAATTAGGGCTGCGGCGGCGAGGGGCTGGCATCTGGGAAGCTGCGGCTACAAAGAGATGATTTTTTTTTTGGAACTGGCTGACAAATTGAAACACAAGCAGTTCCTTTCCTGACCCCTAGCCGTTTGAATGTTCTCTTAGGAGTGGGAATTGCAGCTCTCCTTGCTGGAGACAGCAGTCCACGCTGTGACTGAGGAAGGCTTGCCCTGGTGAGAATTGTCTGTTCAGAGAACTGTGGAGGGTGGGAACGAGTTTGTAAATCAAGAAAAGCACAATTGGGTGAAATCCTGATAGTCTCAGCAGAGAAACTTCAGATGATGGAGTTGGTTCGAAACCTTTGGAACACCCGATTGCATTGTCTGTTGGATCTTCTGAGTTTTAATAGGGAAATAAATGCTTCGTCTCGTTTCTCAATGGCCAAGATGTTTGGACTCTTCTGTAGGAGCGTTCCAATGGATCTAGATGCAGAACCAGACACATAACCGGTTTTCACTTGCTGGAGGCAACACTGTACTATTTTGTTATTGTTTTTTTCCCCCTTGCAACTTTTTGTTGATGTTGTTGAAATACTAGTAATTGAGACACTTTGTTTAGTTTTTTTCGGGTAGAGAAGACTGTTTGATGCCTGGTGGCCTTTTCACTGAGGAAGAATGGCTTCAGTTGAAATTGTGTTGTGAATTGTTGGGACCATCTCTTTTTCTTGGACACACCAAACGTCTTTTGTAACAAATCGGGCTTTGCTTGTGCTTAAGAATGATGACATCATGGATTTAAAGGGACAAGGGAAATTGCCTTAGAAACATCCTCACTTAGAATTCAATCTGTAGCTCTTAAGCTAGAGAGGGCTCAAATTTCTAACTGAGCTTGTTCAGTTGTCTAGTGTGGTTGGGTGTCTTTTCTGTTGCACGTTGATCAGTTTATATCTTATAGCTGCTTGCTTTAGATAAGCCCAATTTAATGTAGCATTCAATCTGCATTGAGCCATGAGTGGTTTTGTTTAGTTTGCACTTCAGCCAGCTTTCAATGACAGCTATTAAGTTAAAGTGACAGTTACTTTATCTAATATTATCTAGTTTTTTTTTTTTTTTTTTTACCATTTTTCCTGCTTTCTTAAATCAGCGTTTCCTATAGAAATGTATAGATTTCCTTAGTGTCTTTGCCAAAGCCAGAGACTTGAACTTAGGGTAGGAAATTGGAGGGCCATTCTTTGTGTTAATTTGCTAGTGGAGGGTCGTGATGGTTTGGCATCATCTGTTGTGTCACCGTGCTACATAATCATCAGCTGTTGATGGAACTCTGTGTCATCATTCACTCTGCAGCATTTCAGCTTTGTTTCCTTACCTGTCTCAGGTACGAAAAGAGAAAGAGCAGGAAAAAAACAGCTAAGGCTGTCGTTGTTGTTGTTGTTGTTTTAGCTTTATCCATTTCATTTCATGTGTATAGGCGCTTTGTCTGCATGCCCATTTATGTGGGCCATGTGTGTGCCAGGTGCCATGGGTCCCCTGGAACTGGAGTTATGGGTGGTTGTGAGCTGCCATGTGGGTGCTGGGATTTCAATCCCAGTTCTGGAAGAGCAGTTGGTGCCCTTTAACCTCTGAGACATTCTCCAGCCCCCAATTTATTTTTATTATTAAAAATTATGTGTGTGTGCGTGCATGTACACACGCCTATGCATAAGAGAGAAAGGGAGAAAGAAATTTAGGAACAGGGCTAGAGAGAGAGAATCCATGTGTTAGCAGAAGCCAGAAGCATCAGATCCTCTGGAGCTGGAGTTGCAGGTGGTTGTGAGCCATTTGGTGTGTGTGCTAGGAGTTGAACCTGAATCTGCAAGAGCAGTAAGCACTTTTTAACCACTGAGCCATCTCTCTAGCCCTAGCTGTGTGATAGCAACCTTCTCTAAAGCGCGAACAAAAAAGAGCTAGCCAAACCTTGGCTTTATGAGAATGTTGAAGTCTCCAGGGAGGCTGATCTAGAGAGAAAGAGTATGTGATTATGTGTTTTCAGGAGGTTTTAGTTAGTGAATTAATTCTTTATAAAACCCAAAGCCCCTTGATTCAATAGTAGTATTCTCACTTTCCATATCATTATGTAGATAAAAAGAGATAATGCTTGTGAAAGTGCTCAGAAAAATGTATACTTTGAAATATGTGAAATAGTTGGTCTTGACCGTGCAGGCCATTGATCCCAGTACTCGTGAGGCATAGGTAGGCAGATCTCTGTGTTTCTTCTAGGTCAGTCTAGTGTACACAGAGTTCCAATATAGTCAGGACTTTATAATAAGACCCTGACTTTAAAAAAAAAAGTACAATACAAGGGAAATAGAAGAGTATCTCTTCATTAGAACATCTATTAAAAGGCTGCCTTTATGTGTTGGGTACTTAAGGAAGGAGGTACTAATGATTCTAAGGACAGCTTTTTATCTAAAGTTGCCTAGAGCCTGGTTGGAAAGGCAGACAAGAAAACCAGTGCACTTGTCCAACTTGGAGAGAGGAGAGAGGTTCTCAGACTTGGGGTAATTTTCTCCAGCCTTGCCTATTCTATTAGTCATTTATTTCTTAATTTTTTTGAAATTTATTTTATGGGTATGAATTTTTTTTCCTGAATGTGTATTCACCATGTGCTTATTTGGTGCCCTCAGAGTTGAGAAAGGAAGGACATGGGATTCCCCACCTGGAGTGGTGGATGGTTGTGAACCACCATGTAGCTGCTAGGAATCCAGCTGTTGTTCTCTGGAAGAACAGCTGCTACTCTTAACTACTGAGACATCTCTCCAGCTCTGGGATTTGTTTATTTATTTCTTGTCTCAGGATGTAGCCCAGGTCCTCACCATCTTCCTCCTGCCTTCCTTCCCTAGGGTTGGAATTCTAGGTGTGGACAGCCACACATGGCTTATGAAAACTTGAGACTTTTTTTTTTTTTTTTTTTTTTTTTGGTCCTGAGTTCTTTTCCCTTTTATTCATTCACTGTCATGATGCTTCTTACATAGCCTGCCCCAGTTAGGCTTTCTGAATTGTCAAAGATCCAAGCAGTCTTGGGAGAGCCTTTCTGAGTGAGTCACAGGCACAGGCAGGAAGCATTTCCCTCAGCGAATGTCCCTCAGGTTCTGAATGAGGAAATTTTAGAGAGACACTTTTTATGTTTTGGGACAAACTGGCACATGAGCATTGTGTTTGTTGCTGCTACAGGGCTGGTGATCATGGGGACTTAGCCCTAGCTTTGCCATTGAGCTCCATCCCTAGCCCTGTTTTTATTTTGTTTTGTTTTGTTTTTCGAGACAGGGTTTCTCTGTGTAGCTTTGTAGACCAGGCTGGCCTCGAACTCACAAAGCTCCACCTGCCTCTGCCTCCCGAGTGATGTGATTAAAGGCGCGCGCGTGCATGCACTCGCGAGCACACCACCACTTGGCTCCTGTTTTGTTTTTATTTTTCATTGTGTGTGGGTCTTTTGCCTACATTGTGTATGTGCACTATGTGCATTCCTGGTGCTCACAGAGGCCAGAAGAGAGGGCATTGGATCCCATGAAACTGGTTGCAGAGGTTTCTGCTGCCATGTGGTGCTGGATTCCAATTCAGGTCTTCTAAACAAGCAGAGAATGTTCTTAATTATTGTTGGGCTATCTTTCCAACCCTTTCTCCTTCCCCTGTTTGCTTGTTTCTTTTGAGATGGGTAGCAGAAGATAGATGACCTGGGACTTCTGATCCTCTTGCCTCTGCCTCCCTAGCAATAGGATTACAGGTCTGTACTACCAAGCCCAATTTATTTGGTGCTAAATCTAGCTATAGGCTGTGTATGCATGCCAGACAAGTACTCTAGCAGCTGAGCCACTTACCCGGCCATTTGTTATTCTGTATTATGACAGTTTGTTACATGGAAGTAGAATCTGACATATATACATATAAAATTTTAAAATTACCTAGAATTGAGTGCATCATGTTATTTCTGAAATTGTTCATGTGATATTACAAATCTTGGAAATTATGACTTAGTGGCATTCCTTGAATTTTTGCATTTCCTTACTGATACATATTGTAGAAGGCAGTTTTACTGTGAATTCTGGATGTTCTTCTTTTATTAAAATTTTTACCTTTATTTGTAAAAAAAAAAAAAATCATTTTATTTTTTCCCAGTGTTAATCTGTTTTGTTTCAGAAGATGGAAGTATATGGTGTGTTTTATGTACATATATGAATCTGATAAACATGTCGGTATTATGTAAAATTTTGTTGTTCAGGATTGTAGCTTAGTTTAGATAACACACACCTTCCTTCTTTTCCCTCCTGGCTCCCTCCCTCCCTTCCTTCTGAATTGAACCGAGGGACTTCTGCATGCTGTGGTCACAGCCCCCACTCTACCACTTGCCCCCTGAGCTGTGCTCTAAGTCCCTGACAGTAACTTTCACATTTCAACATGGTCACATGCAGTTTTGAGGCAATTCAGTTAGTTTCTACAAGGGCAAATGAGTTTCAGTAATGTTCCTAAGACTAGTTAGCCATGCTCTTCCAATGCTCCTTTATTCTCCAGGCAGCCTGTTTAGATTTTTTTGCTCTTCATTATAAAGTTCCTTTTTAACAATTTAAATTTAAAAATTCAAAAGACTCTCTCTCTCTCTTTCTCATATGCATGTATGT